AAACAAATCTCTTATTTACATTCTTTCTAGTGTGAGTCTGATTTATCAAATTAACTGCCTGTACTAGCAATTTCCAGATTTTGAAGGAAAAACGCATCACATCTCGTTTCGGCGTTTAATTTCATTTCGACATTACCTAAATTTGTTCAATGCATCAGATATTAACAACAATTTTCATAATTTAAAAAAAACCATGACGTCATTTGAATTTTGACTAGAGACTAGGAAATGTCGTAAATTTTGTCTTTCAAACGTTTGGGCAATAAGGCGTTTTTATGCTTTTTTTTTAAAATGTTTGTCTTTTTTCATTCTTACAAATAAACACTTTAAAATGAGACGCTTGGTTGTGACGCGGCGACACCCCCTATGTTTAATGCTTTAAAACGTCTATAAAATGAATTCAATGAAACATTATTAAATGAAATTTTCAATTGTGATTAGATTTATTTTTATGCATCATTTGGTACATTATATTTGATGATATGACGGCAAATACTAAAGATATGGAGACAGTGACACTACTTTTGGATCACCCCTCGTATGAAATGATTTGAAATTGTACATAATTAACAATCATCAGTTATGCAAGAAATGCTCCATTATTATATCACTTAGCCAGGTACTCTTCAACTAAAAGTGTTATGATGAATCAAAATAATATCTTTGACCAAAATGAAATCTTTGCATTTTGCTAAAGTCAAAGCTGCTAATGTAACGCCGATATGGGCCCGTTGAAGATTTTTGAGAGGGTTGACATTTCCAGCGAGATAAATAGACAAAGACTGTGAAATTCCATGCAATTATTCAGGTTATGAAAAAAAATTTCCAGAAAATTATAAACTTGTTTACACCTCTGCAGCGATAGCTTAAACGTCTAAAAAAAATTGAAACTTATGATGTTTTGTACATGAAATCTAAATGATTGCACTGATTCTTTTCCAGTAATTAAAAGAAAAGAGACTCAAACAATTAACAATTATAGTGATAACAATTCCTATAAAACTGTGAACTCAACATTGATGCATAATAAGTAAAAGACTTTTTTAGTTTTTAGATCATTTATAAACCAACATAAAATTTTGTAGAAAATGTGACACTCACACTAACATTCAGCGTTTATGAGACACATTTTAAAGAAAATATAAACGGAACACGGAAAACACAAAAGTCATTTTGTACGTATTAGATAGACAAGTCGACAGTTCAACAAGTCGACAGGTCGATAGATCAAGAGATAGACAGTCGCTTGCCTGGCGCAGTGGTTAGGGCGTCTGCTGTAGAGTTGCAAAGTTAGGAATTAAATCCTTACTCTTATTCTTCGATTGGACGTGGAGACCGGTCCTTCGGATAAGACCGTTAAAACCGAGGTCCCGAGTCGCAGTAGGTGCTTGCACAAAAAGATCTCTCGCTGTTCAATGCATGGTCCTGAGTGCCGAGTATAGGACAGAAAAATTCAGCTCTCGATCGGCAAATGGTGGCGTCTCCATATAGGTGAAAAATTCTCGAAAGGGACGTAAAACAACATAAACAAAAGGTGGACAGATGGACAATTGCACATTTATGTTTTTTTTTTGTATACAGTAACTGAAGTGTCAACCTGTCTACCTCTCTACATGAATAACCAGATATAATTGTACGTTGATTAATTAATGTATTTTTATAACTTTGAAATACACATTTATATTGATGTCAACCTGTCGACCTGACAACAAGACACTTTAGTACGTTTATTACCAAATGTAGGTTGTCCAAACTTTTCGTGGACAATGATGTTTTTGATAAAATAAATGGTTCTATATACATTTTTGTACATCAAAATATTTCTTATAAAAAACAAAGTCATATAGACGTAATTTGTACTGATGTAACTTTATATTTTTGTATTCTTTCAATGATAGTAACTTGTATATTTTTGTAAACATTATGTTTTATTTAAAACAAATCAAAGCTTAATAAAAATCATATGTAACACAGCTAAAGAGGCTATAATCATTTTTTGATATCTTAAGTATGAGTGACTATATAGACAGTGAAAATATTACACAAAAACTGTAACAAACTTGTTTCATATAAGTTTGACAATAAAGGGGTTTGTTTTAAAATGAATATATTTTGTTTTATTGAAAACAACACAGCATTTTTTGAAAAGAATTATTTTTTTATAAAAAAAATTATATGTAGACACATATAAAATTTCTGAGGTCGTATTTTTGAATCATCTAAAATGCTTTAAAATTATATCAGGATATTTTACAAACAATTGATATTTAAGGTTAGAAATTTTGGTCCTAATATGGGTCGGATACCTTGAATATCAAAGACCATAAAACAATTCAAATAGGAGCAATGCAAACACGAACCTTTAAAACATCAGAGGTGGTATCCGGTGCCATGGACAAAACACTGTATGACAAATCTTGTATTTCAATAGTAATTAACTAACAATTGGTATGAAAAACCTCAGTCAGTATTTGACTCAATGATAAATTGTTTTGCTGACAAGGTCATTGTTTCGACCATAGAACTTACGAAACGATGACTTGAAACAAGACTGATGATATTCTTGTTTCATCAACTTGTTCTTTTGTAATTTACTTCCTTTAAAGCATAATCTTTGTCACAGTCAATTAAAAATTTAAATTAGATAAATCTCATTGTGAGATAAAATGAATGAATAATCTATCAATTAGCTTATAAAGAAGCCAAAACGTTGAGCATGCAAAAACACACTGAAGAAACAGGTCATTTATGCAAAACCCTTCATGCATTCCTGCAATTTTATATGAAGAGCACCCAACACAGTTATTTTCTTCTAAATATATTTTGTTTAATTGACTGCATTTTTATGACAGCAATGTTTTTCGGCATAACATTTGGCATATATCATAAACAAAACATGTGAAATTCACCTTCACCTTGAGGGTAAAACAAAATCAGAGGTGAACCTTATAAATAAGTAGAAAGATACAAATTCACTTTTTGAATAAAATGACCCTCTCCATCAATTAATAAATTGACTTTCACCCTCTTTCCCATTTCATATATCAAAATATAGTAGAGACATTATGCTTTCATTGCTATTAAAAATATTAATTGGAGACAGCCTTTGTGAAAATGCATTGGTCTTGAATTTTGAAAAAAAAGAAGACAAAATGAAGAACAAGAAGAATAATAAAGTCAAATTTGACGACTTTCTGCAATGAATAAAAAAAAATGAGCATAGTCCTCCAACTAAAAGGAAAATATTTTATGATTTTCAGAAACAGATCATTCAATATTGCACTGTAATTGCATATTTTGGATCAGAGATAAAATTGAATGAATAAAATAATTATTTTTAAAAAAAATTGGCTCCATAGAAACGCATGTAATACTTGATTTTTCAAACATGTTTATAATACACATTAGACATCATTCTTGCAACTTTTGGAAACAGTCATTGCTGCAGTTTTGTTCCAAGTTTTAACTTTATAATTAACTACTGGGCTCCTAAAAATCTTTAAAAATTCCATTTTTCATCTTAAAAACATGTTGCCATGCAATCCATGACATATAGCAACCAAGTTTTACCTGCTTTTAGTTTACGGTATCAAAGTTCATGTCATTATAGAGAATGACTATATAGATCTAAAGAAGTTTGCCCTTAAACATGTGCGCATTTTTTAACTTCTACAGGAAACTGAATTATGTTATCCGTTATGAGTTCCTGATTGTTAAATTTTACATAAAATTGTTAAGATATTTTCCGGGCATACAGAGCGTTTTATTAGTAAGTTCGCTTAAACTGAGCTTTAATAGCGAATTTTTCAGTACTCTCAGAATGAATTTGGAGTTATGATATTACATATATTGCATATGAGTAGATTAAGGAACAGAAAAATTACACTATCCTCGATCACACACATTTGCACAAAGAAGTTGATGGTTGTTATGAAGTACATGTAAAACCTTGCCGTAACATTCGCATGAAACTCGTTTTGAATACGTACTTAAAAAAATCGGAGTAAAACTTATTTTTTTCTTCAGTTTTCTTGTGCCATACAACAATTATAAATCATGTTAATGTTATGTATGTTGTGCATCTTTTACAGAAAAAGATGAACTACATGTAAGAAACAATAAAAACATAATATAACAATAAAAAAAAAATCAAGCATTCTTTTGGATGGTTCTTTTCATGGATACCGATTGCGCTCCGTTATTACTGACCTATTTATATATGTATATGAAGCAGTATTTGTGCGAAATCCTATGTGTGAAAAGAAGAAACTTTGGCCTTCAACTCGACATTTAGATATATCAGCGACGTATTGCCAATAACAATGGTCATTTCCATTCCTTTGTGGATACAATATATTCCGGTGAGCTTAATTGAGATAAAAGATACCACAGAGTCTGACTCATCTGATTCATACTTGGATATTTTACTTGAAAAAGATGTTAATTGTAATATAACAACCAAGCTATATGATAAACGTGATGACTTTGACTTTCCTATCGTCAACTTCCCGTTATTTTCCGATTCTGAGAAGGAGCACACGGCGGTCAACAAGGATTACTCACTCTTCCATGGCACCTGATCCCATCTCTGATGTTTTGGAGGTCCGTGTTTGCTCTGCTCCTTTTTTGTATTGTTTTATGGACTTTGATATTGAATACTGTTTTATCCATATCCTTCCTTGCATTCATTTTGTAATATCTTTTTTTAAAGTTTAAGTTTTTCAAAATTAAGTTATTATATATGTATTACCTTTTTTAAAATTTAGTTTTCAGAACATTCCAGTAATGTCATACCTATTATTTGAGATACGGCATTACATTGTCCAATAATTTTCGCAATAAAATTACTTTAATGCAACAGATGACTTCAAAACGTCCAATTGGCAATAACAATATATAATTTGGCTTTTTTTTCTCCCCGCATCCCAAATTTAATAATTCTAGGTAGTATTTTGTTATAAATATCTTGGAATAAATCATTTATGGCCAGGAGAACTGACGGAGGAATAGGAAAGTCTGTTTTGAAATGATTTCTTTTCGATTGTTGATTGTAGTCTTTACTGCAACCTTTCATTTTAAATTTTATGAAGGTGAGTGTCTCTCTCACTCTCTCTTTCTCTTTTCTATAATCTCTCTCCACATATGTATTTGTACAGTCAAGCTTTTCAGTGACGGTTAGATATAAAGTGAAATATCATGAATAATCGATGTACATGTATACTTTTATTACACTCATAACCAAAAAAATCCGTTTTCTAACATCTCTAGCCACCCATAGATGTGCTTCTGAAGTGTGCATGGACAGTAAAATTGATATTAAGAGAGAGCTGAGAGAAAGAGTAAATGTTACATCTGGACCAGAGGGAGAACGAGTTTACTTCAAACCCGGGCTCTTCAGTTTTGGATGCAGGTTGGTTAAGTTTACAAAAGATTTTTTTTAACAAGGGGGTTTTCTTGTTAATTCATCCGTATTCCGGCTTTCTAGTCAATATCAACACTTAAATTTACATATTGAAATTCAGTGCAAAAACATGAAAGGAACGCGTGTAATTCTGAACATGTTTGCAATTAATGTTTAGTTATTGATTTAAAAAGCAGTTAAAACAACATTTTTTGAGTATCTTCTTAAAATGGCATCAGGGGTCTAGAAAAACATAACATCCCCTGCCGACCGGTCACACTCACTTTAAGTCCTAAGTTCTTCAAACGTAGATTGAATATTATGCAGTCAAATGTATTGTAAAATTAAGGCCTGACAAATGGTATGAAATATGTCGGTCAAAAGACGGTTGAATAAAAGATTGAATTTGCCATCAAGGCGATAACAAGGACCAAGATTTAAGAAATGTTGACTTCAAACAAGATTGACTTTCCTGTCATACGCCTGTCTTTTACCCAGTGCATACACTTGAAGCAGGTTGGTTTTATCATTTGTCCTCGATAAAAATAATTGTTTGTTACAAAAAAAAAATCCTAAATCAGAGTCCTTGTGCTTCCTCTTAACTTATCATCATAACGATGCCACTGCATATATTGTCTCGATTTATTTTTGCAGTTTTGTATGAATTTTATTTCAACTTAACTTTCTATTATTAGGGGTAATTTTCAGAATTATGCAAATTCCATTAAAAAACACTTATTCCATTGTTCTAAATTTGGACATAATAAAGAAAAAAAAAACATGAAACAGTTAAAAACAATTGTGTAGTTGTAAATTGATAGAAAAATCTTATATGAGAACTAGAATTTTATGTAATATCTATGAAATAATTCAAAAGTTCATATATTTCCTATTACTTGTATGGATAGTACTTTATTGAAAGAAATTCTTTTTAGCTACTTTAACATGTATAAGGATTGCATACCCACGGGGGTGGACCCATGTTTTCCAAGAAAGTATCAGAACAGACTGCAGGACTTTATTGACGCTTTAGACAACATCGCGTGTACCAAAGCTGAGAGTAAGCATTGTGATCCCTATATAATTTGAAAGATAAGATATCATGTTATTTAATCGCTGAAATTAATTTCATCCTTTTAAAGTGAACTAAAATAAGAGAAGATATTTTCAACAAAGTCAATGCTATTTTTTTTTTTTTTGCTGTGTTTCACTCAAGGAGACATAACGATTAAATACAATTTAATTTGCAGTTTTATAAACATCAAAAGAAAAGAAAAAAAACTACCTAGGAGAACTAGAAATCTCAACCTTATTTAAAAAATATAATTCACCTCTTTTTTTGTCAAAAACTTCATGTTTAAAGATGCTTTTTAAAATGAATAACATTCATTGTGCATTTTGGTATATATAGATATATATAAATACAAGTTAAACATACAAAATTTATTTTTAAAAAAAACCCCATTCATTTTCATTTTGTATTCAAATGATTTCTAATATTTGTATTTGAAAAATATGGATATTTAGCAGTTGAGCAAATTCCACGGCTGTGTTTGTGCTACTGTATTATTGCCCTAATTTACTCTTTGCAGGATTGGACAAATTGATCGACTGTATGAACAATGGCGATGTCCAGAAATTTCTTTTTGAAAACCTGTATTCTAAACTTATCTCCTTTGAGTCTAAAATGAAAACGAATGACTCAGATGTATGCAGGTTAATAATTAATTAACATATATCATCATATTCGTTTACAGTTATAGAGCTTTGATTTGAAAGTTAAACTGAAATATGTCACTTGAAATACAAAAAAATATATATAATTTCAGTAAAATGAAGGTGGATATTCGTGCCGCTGTGACAAACCTCTCGGCTAATTGCGACCATGATGGCCTGCAAGCCCTTTTGCAGCTTATGAACGAGTTGGCAGAAGAGATACCCGATATTTTCCAAATAGTCACAGGTGAATTGATGACAAAACCGGATTATAAACAAAATTGCTATGACGAGTTTATGGAAGTGACGTCATCAGTCCAGCGTTCCCTTACCAGACGAGCTTCTGTCATGGAAACTTCCCGAATCGTCCGATCTCTGCTTGGCTTGTAGTTCCGGTCTAATTTCTGCTCGGCTTGTAGTTCCGGGTCTTGTTTTCTGAATAATTAATCCAGCATGAAATAAATTATCGCTAAACCTAAGTGTCTATTGTCTATTGTTATTTGTGAATAGGTTTAAAGAAATTACACCTTGTTTCCTAAAATCTCTCCTCATTTCAATTGACTATGTAATCGTTTATTTTAATAATAGAATTAAAAATAACATGAAGAAGAAAGAAAATACTAATGGTTCTTCGAAACAGCAGATATTTTTATTGTATGATATCAGATATGTTGTCCTAAAACGCACCAAACTTTCGATATGTCGGTCTGAAGAAAACAAGAATTGATTGATAGATTGATTGATTGTATATTGTTTGATGTCCCTCTTTTTTTCACTCATATTACTGTATGCCGGTGAAGGATTCAAAAAAGTGCACATAAGCAATGCTAAACCGGTGACATTTTACTTTAGAATATATCACCAATTCGATTTCGTTTGGTAATAGTTAGATACTAGTGGATATTTCTAATTAAAATGCACGTTAAGCATCACTTAAATCAGCATGGATTTGAAACAATTGAATATTTCTAAATGCCTATGGATACCCTAAACCCGGAAAAGTCGCACCGAACCTTCTTTGACTTTCGTTTATGTAAATATTTAAATCGGCACTTGAACAATCTGATGGTGGATCATAGTCGGGCGCGTTTTGCGGAATGTTACTTTTTCCGCCATATCTGTTTTCAAAAATTGAATGAAGTTTTGTGATACTGTAGCCATAATGATAAAACTAAGAAATTGATACTCTTGCATTTGAAAAAAAAATAGTTTTTTGTACAAAGTTAGGCATATAGTGAACAAAAGCTTTGAAATGAATGACCGTTCTCGATTTACCATGGAAATACCACAAATGTCGGCTGACCCCTGCCACATTCTATTGTTTTGTTCTTTGTATATTCGTGAATTTCAGCGCTAAAATGTGTTGATTCGTATGGTTTAGATATCAATTAATAATTTGGAATAAAAATTTTGCTTAATTTGATATTTTTTTTCACATTTTACCGGGGCCCATAAGTGCACACCTTCTTTTGAGCTTTACTCGGCACTCAGGGCCATTGAGCAGTGAGGGATTTTTATCGTGCCAACGCATGCCGCTGACAAATTCACTGTTTTTAAGGTCTCATGTTTCACCTCAAAGTGCCGAGTGCATGGCGAAAATTTATAAAAATTTTATCGACTGGGTCAGTCGCGGCTGAGATACGAACTCATGATCCCATATAAAATGAGTGACACGATTAACAAGAGTTGATGTGATGGTTTTGTATTATGAATACCATTTACCAATTATACTGTCGTAAGGATAATGCAAAAAAGGACTTACTGCTAAACCGGTCAGAAGAAAAAAAAATATAAACAGCAAATAAGCGTTACGTAAAACAAAGGCAAGAACACAACAGGATTAACAGATTACTTCTGGAAGGACTATAATTTGTGTTTTACTCATTTATCACGATGTTGCTTATGTTTCTCTTCATTTTGGGGGGGGGGCATATAATTTAGTTTATTTTTGAAATAAAGTCATTTAATAAAATTATTTCAAAATCTTCTCGTGAAGAACTACTGGTTTATACTTATCTGAAAGCTCCAGTACAGTGCATAATGTACGTTAAATTTTGTAAATGCTGGAACAAAAAAATCACACACTTCACAAACGCTATGATTGCCGCGTTTAAGTCTAAATTTATTTACAGCCCTCCATCGTCAAGTGGTGATGTCTCCATATGCGTGAAAAATTCACCAGAGGGATGTTAATATAACACAATTAGCCAATGTGTTAGGATTAAGAAGACATTTGTAAGTTTATGGTTTTATTAAAAGTCACAGCAAAGGTACATGTAGTAAACAATGTACATGAAAAGTTCAATTACAAGGATCTCGGAGCCAAGATGGTGAAAGCTCACATAGTCATTGATATAGTCCGCCCCTCAAAGCTAATCTCCCATCTCCTTATATTTGTCCTCTTTACATTAACATTGTGCATCTTGCACATTCTTCAGTTAATATAGATGGCTGCAGCTCTGCACAAAGTCTGATTGGAAGTGTCAATGCTCGAGAACAACACATCGTAAAAACTAATTGTCCGTTAAATGAAGACGCTCTATTTTTGTATTCTATCTCCCCGGGTTTGTAAACAAGTTCCTTACTAAGATATTATTGTCCGTCGCTCTACACACTGATAGTATCGATTATAATTCATAACACAATATTAAAACATAGATCGATAAATGTACTGTTCAAATTCAAATATCAATTAAACTTATAATTTATACACTAATTGTGTTACATTAAATCAGCAAACAAAATTTATAAGAATTACTTTCCAATCATGACCCCATATAAAATGGGACACAATTGATGATCAAATGTTTACATAGGAATAGACAAAATACAGGAAATGTTTAAAAATTCTTAAAAACCAACAACGAATTAAGCACAATAAATTCAGTTTATTTTTGCTTTTTACTGGTCCAAAAAAAAAAATCTTAAAGGCAATCCCACCATTGAGATCAGCAGTAGGCCCGTAATTAGTTATGTTTATATGGGAGCATCCTTCGGTAGACGTGTAGATTCAGCTTTCTTCTAATGATAACCCCGGGTATAGGAAGAGGCCACAAAGGGCGATCATCATGGGAATTCTTTCATTTTTTTTCTTCTCAAAAATAGGACAACAAATTTTAGGCATATTTATATAAAATCATTGCCATATGACATGTACCGATTGACGACAATATGCAATAATTCCAATCTTAATTTTATTTATTGATTCCCTGTGTTTTGATTGGACGAAAACAAATTCAAGAAAAAGTTTACTCATCGATGAATTCTTCAATCAGAACTACTTTTTTGACTGTTGTAAAAACAATGAAAACAGATACTTCTAGTCTGTTTTAGCTAAGTTATGATTACAAGAAACTTGAAATGAAAAATGAATGAATGAATGAATGATCGAATGAATAAATGAAAAGGAGATAAACAGGACTGACAGACGGGAATATCATGTTTATGTCATTGTCGGATCAGGAATGTGAATTTTAAAAAATCGCTGATCATGCTGTCATTTTCTCGACGTTCCATAACGTCTCAGTTGGATTCGCTGTGATAGGGAAAAGAAACGTACCTCAGACTCGTGCCTTTCTAGCAACAAATATATATGTTTACATCCTACAGATCCCATATTCTCACTAAAATTTTGAACGAACCAGAGCAAATCGAGGACGTCGTCGGTCTGCAACTTTCGTTATGACGTTATTGTTAATGTCAACATGCCCATGGTCAAGGACGAATTATTCTGGAGAATACGCGTATTTACGATATTTGTTGACTTAAACAACATTCAGTGATTTTTATAAGTTTATTTATTGATTGTTTTGACAATTTAAGTTGGATTTCATCGATATTCATCTTGTATACGTATCTTTGCGGCATAAAGTATTCCTACACCGTACAGAATAACGGATTGTATGGCGGCCTCAAAGGGAAATAATTTTAATTGCTTCGCACTTTTATTTAGTTTGTGAGTAAAAAGGCAGAGTTTACACATCGATAAATTCTGAAAAAAGAACGTTTAATCCTATAGTAAGGGTAGGTATACACTGTCGCCAGCGACAATATGAACAGGACGTCAAAATATACTTCAGCAATCTCTTTGCATGAATAGCATACGAGATACTTCAGTGTGATTTACACATAAATTACATTAAAAAATCTACAAAAAACTAAGAACAATCTTTAAGCAGCAATATCTTTGGGGCAGTGTGTGCAGTGTTGGAAATGCAATGTCGCCTTCGACAATATGTTTATGTGTAACATTTTAGATGGCGACAGTATGTACCGACAGAGGGCAATATGTGCAATAAAGGTAGGTACATATTGTCGCCAACGCCAATATGATCAAAACGACAATATACACCGTCATACCCGCGGTCATTATTCGATGTAGGTCATTATTCGTCTTTACATCTGTAGGCAGCTACATGTAAGTGCAAACAAACTCCAAATTCTATTGATGCATTTATTGAAACATTTTTTTTGTCCTATCATTCTTAATCACTTTATAGAAATTATTCGTAAATAATAATCATTGGACAATCAACAAACTATGAAATAAGTATTTACAATACATAAATTACATGTACGTACAACACGGAAATAAGTATTTAAAAATGAAATTCAAGAAATGTATATTTCAGAATTAAAGAGTTGGAAATGTTTAACTCATTAATTGGTTATTAATAAGAATTCAGGTCATTCGATTAAAACAGCTGGTTTATTTTTTTTTATCACGAAAATATAATTCAATATCAGAGTTTCTATAATTTATTATTATTGATTTATTTCCTAAAATTACAGAGTAATGAATTACAACAAAAATTTAACTGTAAGATATACAAAATTCCTGTAATTATTTCCATAAAGTCTCAAATTTGTAAATTCAAATTTAATAAAGTACAAATAAACAACTTATTTATTATCAGTTATATTTAATGATATAAATTGCATTCATTATATCCCATAAAAACAGTCAATCAAACAAACAAACAAACAAAAAAGAAATTTAAAAACGCGTTTCAGTTCTTTATCAACCCGATTTTGTTAAAATAAGTAAACAATGGAATACACACTGATTTTGATAGAAAATAAGTGACACAACAGGCTCTAAAATAAAAAAAAACCCGGAAAATTGAAAGTTTCTTTTTTTTTTTCAAAGATCGGCAAACATTATTCTGGCATCGGTTTATCCAAAAATTAAAAGTAGCTGCAGATTTAATTGCAGCTCGCAGGTCATAAAACAATATTGAACGAAAAACCAGAGACTACTTGCAGTGACCTCCATCGATAAAAGTGTATATTTATTGCGCACAAAAACGCACTGTTTCTTAATTCATTTCTACGTATATATAAAAAAGATACTAACCGAGTGTCCCTAACATACATTGTAGTCTTTTACTATATTCACAACAAAACTATACGCACAAGTCACGTACGAAGCGCAACAAAATTGATTGAAAATATCACGGCTCAATTTCAGATCAAGGAT